AGTTTCGAAAATCCAAATTTTGCTCAAGGATCAAAAGACATCTCTCCTATTCGACTTATCAAGACGATCGGTGATCCCGCATAAGATCATCATCAAGCTTTTAAAGCCAAAGGATGCCTCAAAACCGACCTTTCGAAATCGAGATCAAGCTCATTTGGGCTATCTTGACAGTCAATCCTTCTCTCTTCCTCACCTCATAATATTTCATATGTACAGAGCATTGCGAAAGATAAGGGTCATCGCCATATGGAGCTTTGATCACTCGTATCTTCATGTATCTCAATTTATCTATTCCGTGAGTTGCGAGAAACTATGCTTCCCCTATGTTTGTTGGAGAAAAATGCTCTCCAAAATGAAGAAATTTGAAGATATCGGGGACATAGTAAAAGGAAAGAGGCTCACACGATCGAGGCCAAATCTGTTGGCAAGAAAGTTCGAAAGAAAAGGAGCAAGGAAAAGAACTAGTTCGCAAGCAAGCAAAGCGATTCTCCAACCCCAATCAAAGTGTACGAAAGAAAGAAAACTCTTACGCATGATGAAAATGATGAAGCGAAGCGAAGCACACTTTGAATCGGGTCACATCTGCAGAACGAGAACATGTTCTGAACCGAGTTCCAAATGTTTGAAACCAATTCATGAAGAGCATGTTCGAAGAACAATCACTGCTTGGGGAGATTCCACGAATCATTGCGAGGGTACAATCGGTCCGAAAAGCTAATGACCAAGGTCGGCATTAAAAATCGAACATCCTTTCGATTACGCTTTCGAGATAAAGGACAAGCGAGGCGCTCTAGAGCAAAATTTGCGAGAACCTACGAAAATTGTTGAGGAAAACACCAAGGCTCAACAACTTCAAGCGGCGGAGACAAAGCGGAATTAGAAGGAGCCATTGCTATGTGCTCATCCGGCATGGATAAAGCCATAGGTCAATGCGGTTCGAAGATTGAGGAGAATTTGTCTCAATATTGGAAAATTTTCAATGATTCGTACTCTAAAAAATAGCCATGTTTTCAACATTTCTCTCTATTTTTTTCAATTGGTACGTAATATTTCTCATACTTATTGTTAGACGATTGATTACTTAATATCAATGCATTATTCTATCTATTACTATTCTTTTGTTGATGACAAAAAGGGGAGAAATCATATTGCGATTTACGGGTTATTCTCAAAGGAAGAAAGACACGGATATCAACAGAGTTTGCTATTTCAATCATGTTTATTGAGCTTAATATGTTTAAAATAATTCAATCTGCAAAGAAAGTTTTGTCACCATCAAAAGGGGGAGATTGTTGAGGAAAACTCCTATTAATTTTGAAGTTGACAAAACCTTCTATGTTATTGTAAATCGATACTTATTAACTATTCCAGTGTCCGTATATTACGGAAGCTCGGAAGAAAGTTATTCGAGACTTTACAATCATCAAGTATATTTACAAGACCCACATAATCGCTGATTCGAGATTCGAAGCGAAGTTATTCGGATGCGGATGCGAGAGTTATTCGAATGCGAGATGCGGAGCGAAAAATTATTGAGACGAAGAAATTCGTCGAGACGCAGAAGAAATTATTCAGACGAAATTCTTGAGCCGAGGCGCATGAGTTCTTCGATGCGACGCGAGAATTCGAACGTAACACAACGGCTAGTGATCGGCATGGATTTCACGAAGGAATGTTCGATTGTCTCAATCCGAATCAAGCGATTGACAATCAAACATCATGACAAGAATGCATTACAACGGACAAAGTTCTACTTATGGAAACCAAGATTCGATTGTATGGGCGACCGAGAATCGGCGGGATTCGAGAATACGTCAACCAACGGCTACTCAATCCACACTATACAAATCATCCAAGGTAAAGATTGGAAGATGATCCTCGAAAGGCGTCCAACGCTAGTTTGGAGCGGAGGAGTATTTAAGGAGATCAACGAGCGGCGAAGGGAGAACAGAATCAAGAATCAACAAGTCCAAAGTCTGAGCTTAATCCAATCATTTTTCTCTTGTCATTCGAGCCAAATATTAAGATCTTGAGGAACACTTTGTAAGAGTGATTGTGTGAGATAGAGAGTCCTATCATACACAAGAGTGTAAACACTCGAAGTTGTAACTCCTCTTGATTACATAGTGAAATCCAAACCCGGTAGGTGCAAGCGTGGGAGAGTGGACGTAGGCTTGCTATAAGCCGAACCACTATAAACTTGTGTGCGATTCTCTATCCCTTATCTCTTACTTTACATTACGCATCAAGAGCACAATCTATATAATCTGTCTTGAATCGAATTTTATTCAGACTCTTCTGTGATTTATTTTGTTTCCGCATAAATTACTAAAAATTGTTTTAGATCACCTATTCACCCCCCTCTAGGTGATCCTTGCTAGCTACATCACCAAGGACATCACACCGGCTGCCCAAGTGAACCGTTGATTTTGGTTTACAATTAAAATGAGGGGCTAGGGTTTTGATTGCAACATAAGTTAATCTCAAATTCTCAAATTGGGAGCAAGAAAGAGCCTAAACGACGTCGTTTTAAAACATTTTCACTATCGTCATCTCTCCCGCGAGTCATGTTGCATGATGAAATCTAAAATTAATGTCACGTAGGATTTTCAAGCAAGGGCAATAGTTGATTTTACTTACCATTTTTAAAGTTATGACACTTGAGTGATCGCTTGAAAAGTTATGGCACCAAAATGAGTATTGTACAAAAGTTATGACACTGTTAATGTTATTTTCACAAACATTTATTATCTCTCTTCACACGGTTTAAACTTCATTTGCTTTTCTTTTCTTTTCTTAAAGCACGCCTAGGCATATGCTTCTTCCCTCATGGGTAATAAGCCAACCTTCAGTGTATAGACATCAGCTTAGCCCATCCATAGAGAGAAGCAATGGCATCTATAAATAATTTAAAACGGCAAAAATGTCTTGACATACAATTTTTTATAGTAAAATCTCATCAAATCACTCGCATGGTCTCCGATTATAAACTTCAGGAATGTGCACGAGATTTGAAGAATCCATGTCCCGTGATGCCTCTCTGCGAATGGGGCAAAAGTTTCTCCATAAAAAATGACTCACAAGGCATTTGGAGGGGTGGGATTAGACTGGTATTAGTCCCGCCCCTTTTGTATATTTTTACAAGATTATGTATTAATTACAAGTAATCCATATAAAATTGTGATTATTATATTATATAACTTGTTCAAATTTATCACCCACTTAATTTAAACTTAAAGTGAAATAAAATAACATATGTTTTTCAATATTGAATAATACAAATACATTAATATAAATAAGTGGTGTTATTTTGCAATTCTTTAATAGTTATAAAGAACAAATTAATGAACCTAATTAAAAGAGCCTCCACTAATTCTTCTTATGGAATGTCCCACATAGGATGCAAGGCAAGAACATGGGCAACAAGGCCAGTCACAAAAGACGAGGTCGTAGAATTGGAAAAATCACGCAGCCATGTGATGAGCACAGAGCGAATTATTCTTTCGCCTTTTACTAAAGAATACCGTGTGCTCGTCATAATTAGTGGCATACGCCTATTTTTGGAGGGGCTTCCTTGACTAAGGGAGCTCCTAAAATCGAGTTCAAATGATTTCATAGTCATTTCCGATGCCTTTGAACCTCCTAAAATTGAGTTCAAATGATTTCATAGCCATGTCCGACGCCTTTGAACCTCCTAAAATTGAGTTCAAATGATTCCATAGCTATTTCCGATGCCGTTGAAAATGTAATGTCAAGCATAGAGATTCTCTCGAAACTGAACCGGTTTGTTTAAAATAATCCGTCTCCTGGGAAGGGCAGGTATATTTTGATGTCTATTGCTGTGAATCGGGAAGAAAATCTGGTTTCCTGTCTAAAACGAACCGGCGTGGATTCGGAAAGGTTGTAGTGATCATATCCTTTCCGTTTGAATTCTGAATGAGGCATATTGAACTAGCTGCACTTAGCTATGCAAATGATTCAACCCTAAGATAGCAGCATGCCCATAAGTTCATTCCAAGTTTTTGGGTTATGGGTTCGGTTCCTTAAGTACACCGCCCTGCTGTTGAATTAGTCTCAAGTCTTAACCATTGTTCAAGCGATCTCGTTTGACCAAATGATATACCCTCGACTAGCAGGGTATATGTGAAGTCGAATTGTAAGAGTTTGAAAGCCCAGAGAACCTATTTATTGAGTTTATCCTTGCTGAAAAGTAGCCAACACCTTGGCAATGTCGGGCTCAGAGGAATAGAAATATCTGACTATCTCCATATGTTCTTTCGACTTTCACTAAAGAACCGCGATCGTGCGCTCGCAATCCTTGTAACTCTCAGGCTCGAAAACTGGACTAGTAGCTTCAAACCAATGTTATCAATGGACCAGTTCAGGCTTCAAAATGCAGAACATATGGACCAATGTCTTGCAACTGCTGTCCTGACTAAAAATTAATGAACAACACCGGTTCAGTTTAACCGGCTTACTTATTCATGTATATAGAGGAATATTTTATCATCTCTTGGACTCTCTCGCATGGGCAACAACAAAAGAGCAGGAGTAATAGGACCATGGATACTTGCTTCACACCAAGCCTTGCATTTCTAGTTTCCGAGTTTTCGCTGGTTCTCTGCCTCGTCATAAAGGGATTAGTTTTCAATCACCACTAACAAACAACACACAGGTCGATTGTGTTTCTAAGCCAAGTGACTGCAAAAGCTTTCTCGCAAGGGTTGGATTCAAACTCCGAACCAAAATCAGCATGCTGCCTTAGCCGAACCGCCAACATGTTCTGTTTCAATCGTCAATCATCTCTCATCTCAACTCCGCTGGACGTTTTCACTAGTCTTCCAAGTCTTCTATTGCACGACCAAAAAAAAAAAGCCTGCTATTGTTCTTTCTTCATTTTTGCAAAAGAAACAGTGAAAAGGAGTCTCACATGGGGAATGCGAAACGCATCACGGACCAGAGCAGGGGACAAAGGAGGAGGCCAGGCAACATAGCACAGCATACCTTTCTCGGCCTTTTGGCTAAGATCAAGTGTAGTATCTGTTCTTATCAGTTTAATATCTGATACGTGGGCCATTGGTCTACATGATATTAAATTAGTTTTTCTAGGGGGAGTGGCCGCCACAGTAGCTTGCTACTGGGCCTCTCGAGTGTTGCTCTGGCGTTGCACTACTGCCCTTGCTTGGTGCACCCCACCAAACCTTAGTCGAAATTGTGTTTTTTTCACACTTTGGGTGAAACGTGTGTTTTGTTTGCTATTACTTAATACGTGAGGACTTATTGTTGCACTTAACTAGACCAAGAATAGAGTCTGGTGACAAAGAACGCTCTAGAGATGGGTTGAAAAACAAAGCTCTGGTGATGGGTCAAAGATAGAAACCTCGCTCGCGTCTGGCTTAATCAGCTAATCTGAGAGTTCAGAAGTGGGCGCCTTGGATCCTCAATGCAAGACCCAGGAGCAAACAATGCGTTTGATCGGAGGAAATCTCGTCTAACTAATTTCAAGGCTTCAAGATGCACAAGGCTTGTGCAAGAACAACAAAACATTCCATTCCTTTGTTTCCTGTCATCGCTTGTTGGGTCTTCCCTGGACTTCTGCCTCAAAACATTTGATCCACCATGACACAGCCCACCAACATAAAGTGAAAACTATGACACGATGTGAAGCGACTGTAAACCTCCACAAATTGTTTTCTCCATGCGCAGCACAGAAATCGAAAACCATGCGTACTTCAAGCAGGCCAGTCTTTAGCTTGAACCAGCGAAGCAGATGCCAATCAAGACGTCCGTTAAAGTCGCAAACAAACAATCAAAATCTCTCTCTGTCTCTCCAAAATATGTGCCCATATGCAAACGGCGCCTTCAATCTCCTTTACCATCGTGTGGACAGAGCTTGATGCCATTTGAGCGCAACGCTAATGCGACCTCAAAACCATCAGTTTTAGAGAAAAGTTAATATTGAAATTTACTTAGACCCGCACAAAAGTTAAAGTGGATGATGTTTATATCTGAAGAACCAAATTTTCTTGAGGCCCGGGATGGGTCAAGCCCATGGGCCCTAATGGATCGGCCTAGGCCCGTCAAATTTTTTTATGAAGGCCCAATTCAATGGTCGGGGCCCATGTAGTGCTAGATGGTCCAAACCATCAAGAAATTTTCAAGCTAAATTCAGTCATTGGTCAGTGACTCAAGTCGGTCCAATTTCGACCAAAAAAAAAAAAAGTCAGTCTAATGGCCCACTAATTTTGTGGGTCTGCCAAGTTAAGGGTTTTGTAATACGTTGAAAGCACTTTTTATGGATTATAGGTTTGCTTGAAATAGGATTCGATAGAGGAAGTTTTGGCACCAACAAATTCAGCTCCAAAGTTACTGTTCGCAATATGTCCCGCACGCGGGGCCAACTTGAAAATTTTGTTCCGAGCAAACCGTCAACTCAAGTCAAGATTCATAAAATGCTATAACTTCACAACACTCCAAACTATCATATATATAGAGCCCGACAACCTCCAATCGGATGTAGCAACACAGAATTGACATAACTTTGAATTTTATTCCTAACTTTGACGATTCCTCCAATTGACAAAAAATAGGTTCGAATACTTACCTGGCAACGCAAATTGGACTTGAAACGGCTTGTTGAGATGTCCAGATTGTGACTGTGAGAAGATTTTCTCTTTTTCCCCTTTGTCCCCTTTTTCCCTCTCCCGAACGAGCTCCTCTTCTTGTGGTTTCCTTGGTTTGTCCGCTGCTTCACATGCACACATAAATCCATTAAAGAAAGAAAAGGAATATGGGCTGGGCTAAGGGCTTTACTTTAAGAAATGAGCTGGCTGAGGCTCATATATTACAATGGCTAGCTATTGGGCCAAAAAAAAAAAACACTTAATCAGTGTCGTTTGGCCCTCTATAAATTGGCCCTGCCTCCTCTCAATTTTCACCATTCCTCAATTTCCACTCACACATCACTTACGAATGTTCTTGCTCTCTAACACTGTTTTTCAATTTCATTTATTTCTTTTCTCATTGTAACAATTAGTCGCGTTCTGAATATCACAAGAAGAACAACAACAGTAATAACAGTGTCCGATCATCCTAACTCATTCCAGACTTCACTGTGCAATGGATATGGGACTCGTTTAGTGAGCTCCACAACAACAACATGTACTTTCCATGCACACCAATTCAACGACAATGGAGACTACTACGTGATAATTGGGAGAAATTGTAGGGCCATGCGTCAAAAATTGATCCCACCAGGACGCTTCTCGGACGACACCCCTACTTTCTAAGAAAACCCCTAAGTAGCTGCGGCACAGTCTTCACGAAGAAGGACGTTTGGTATCTGGAGGACAATTCGGCTGGAGATCAATGTCGATGGTGTCAAGACTGCCATCTACACTAGATGTGGTGGCAAAGTTTTCAGTGATTTGTCAAGTGGGATGGGCCACTTGAGGAGGCACCAGTGCCGACATAAGGAAGAGATGTCTAGGGCTAGAGGGAGTTTTCAAATATAATGCCGCATATCGAAAACCGGTTCAAGTGCGACAAGGTGAGGAATCAGGGGGAACTTGCATTATTATTGTCTTGCCATGATCAACCTTTTGGGGACGTCGAAGATCCACACTGCGTCCAATACAAGCATATAGCTCTACAACCTCAGTTCAAACTCATTCCGCATACAACAAACACCAGAAACTGCAATTCATTGTACAAAGAGAAAATGGTAGAGTTGCTGCATTTACTATCAATAGGTAACATTCAAGTCTTTTTAACTTTTGATTTATAGAGTACCCCAATGAATTACACTCACTATGTTGTCAACAACCATTAGGTTGACGATGAATGGAAATTACATCATAGAGCTCCTAGGTTTAAGAAGTTAATATTCTCGTATAATTCCCAAAATGTGGCCACTGAAATAATGAGAGATGTCAATGAGCTTTTGACATCTTTGATAGTATCCTAAGTATTAGGCTAGATAATGCCTGTGTGAACATCTCCCTTGTCTGGAGTCTGGTCTAATAACTAAATCTCGCATGCAATAGGATCCTCTTCCATGTATGGTACACTTGTGCATGCAAGAGAGTTTGCGCTAGTTTTACAATTATGTGGTAGCCATAAATGGGTGGGTTCAATACATGAGATTTTCCCCTACTCAGGCATCAAGAATTGGGGTCCTGCACTTGACATAGGGAAGGCAAGCTGAGAAAATTCCCTCCGGATGTAAGGAGGAGGTGGAATTCATTATACAAGATGTTGAAAAGAGCATTTGAGGAGATGGGTGTGCTACCCTATACTCCACCACTCGTCGTTGAAGTGCCGATCTCTCGCTATTGACGCCACAATAATAGGAGTTGCTAAAGTGTTTAGGGACTTCTTATAGGTTTTCAACAATGCAAAGGATGCCTTGAGCACAAGCAATTAACTGTCAAACAACTGAACCATTCCATTTCTAGACATGGCATTAGTTGAATAGGCGAACAAGGAGGGTGATCCCTTCTTCAACAAACAGTATTGGCCAAGAAGCCGAAATTTCTCAAATATTACAAGGATATTCCGTTGGTTTTTTTGTGTGTGCACTTTCTTAGATTCAAGGTTCAAGTTAGAGGAGTTCAAAACTTTCTTATTCCATATCACGAGAATTAGGGACTGGATGAGGGGGTCCAAATAAAGTAGATATTGGTGATAGAGTGGAATTGCCTCTGGAATATGTATGCTACACACGCTAGTTGATTTGTCACGAGTTCCTCCCCATGTACAGGGATGCCGCTCTCATCGAATAGTGCCCAAAAATTTGTATGGTCTCGATTTATTAAGAAGAAAGCCCCCCACAGACTTCTAATAGCTCTTGGTCTTCATCTACTAATGAATTAGAGAAATACTTGACAACAAACTACTCTAAGTACATTTAAAGAGTTGGCGAAGACAATGTTAACGTTTTTGAAATGATGGATTAGGAGAGTCGCTAATTTTTCAGTTCTTTCTTTCGATCATGGCTCGTGACTTACTGACCCCATTAGACTCTATGGCACCATCAGTCCACATTCAGTACTAGCCAACGGATCTTGCAAGACTATAGGTGCGGGATGTTTGGAAAAATTTAGGGTTGTGATAGGGTATGATTGATTTTTGCAAGAATTGACTTTAGCCAAACTTGCTCAACACGAACAAGAGGACTACATCGACACTATATCATCTAACTCATGATGAGAAACTCGGCGTCAAAGGCACTAAACTTATTAGACACTACTTTGGGTGTAATTTGTGTGTAATCGTGATTGGGGCACTTGTACTTTGTAATTTTACAATGGTAAAAAATTTAAATCCATACAAAACAAAATTCAAAAAATCATTCGCGCTTTCTAGCTTTTGCTTCTTGGCAGCTATCCGGCACCACCAGGTGTATTAGGATTATAAATTATAAATTTTTCATGATGAGCGTACCGAAAAACCTTCCCTGGATTGGCCAAAAAAAAATTCGAATTTGTTGCCTTATAATTGGAGATACTATTACATGTCAAATTTTTGGGAAGAAATAAAAAAAAACTCAGTACTTGTTGGTGGCCAATGACAAGCAATGATATCCCGGATGTTTCCCTGCAGCTCCAGGACAAAGCAAACGAAATCCTGTTTTTCCGTTAAAACTCTCGGGAGAGCTCAACCCCGCAATCCAATCCCCTCCCTCCATGCAACCTCCACGTGTCCTAACGTTAACCAGTTGCCATAAATATCCCACCCCTCTCTCCTTCCATGCCTCCCTCTCTTCCCCGCAAATCTGCAAAACCAGTCTCCACGAATACCATCAGTCACTCTCCACTCCCTCGCTCTATGTGAACTTGTGAAGCAGCTGCGAACCTTTCTTCATCGCCATGAACGCCAGAGCCTTCCTCTGCTCCTACTCCCCTCACCCTGACTCCCTCCTCAAGCAGAGGACTTCGCTCGGTCCGCCGCCGCCGCCGCCGAGGAAGTGCTTCGCGCCGGCGACGCGGTTCCGGTGCCAGGTCCGATTGATCTCGGGGGGACGATGCTACATGTTCCGGGTCTCGGCCCGAAACCCGGGCCTGAAGTCGGAGCAGTACGAAATCACGGACGTGCGAGAGTCGGCGAAGTTGGAGAGCGGCCAGGACGAGGACGGGGGTGTTGTTCCTTGGTGGGAAGAGTTCCCCAAGAGATGGGTCATCGTGGTCCTCTGTTTC